ATGAGCTTTCACGATATCGATAATTATATGATTATGTTGACTCCAAGGTTTTCTTCTATATATGAAGATAATATTGTTGTAATTAGGAAATGGAATTTACTTTTATTCTTATTTAAATATTTACAATTTGAAACAGGAGCTTATTAGATTGTAGCTATCGACTTTATTATTAACATTTTAATTATGTTCCTCTGTATTATTTTGTGAGTAGGTACTCTTTTTTCATATAATTAAACGTACTTATTTACTTATCTATTATAATATTAAGTAACTTTTAACGCTAAGCTAAAATTGGAATTCTTTCTTATTGGGTTTTTCATATGATTTTATTTCTCCTTTAAGAAATATTTGGGCATGCAGCCCTTTTTAACATCCTACTGCTGTCCAACTCTCTCGCCAAGAGCGGGTAGACAGACTTCACATGTTTTTTGAAAACTTGTTAGGTTCTCTCAGGCAGGTTCCCTTACGATCTTTTCTTTTGTAAGATTAGTGATAATCATGTTGGAAATGATTGGCAAATGATGATATCAGAGATGTGATACTGGGATTTGAACCCACTTCAATAGGTTTTCTAAGCAAGCCCATTACTGGGCTGCCACTGCCTTGTTATTTCTTGTTAATACACGTTAAACGCTTTACATGGCATATATCAGTAGTAGAGTAGTGATTGGATCATGACCTTCTAATGTTACTTCAAACAAAAAATGGTCAGGAGTGAATTTATTTGTAATAAGTAGATAATAATACTCACGACAAATACAATTGACAAAATATTTATTTAATAAGCCTTTTTGAAATTTTGAAACAAATTCTATTGTTTTTTTCCATGGAACACTTTTAAATTTCTTTTGTCTGCTCTGTTTAAAAATAGTCATTTGTAACTTACTTTATAGTACGTATGATTAATCTGTAGTAATATATTTACTTTCAAAAATGATATGAAAAATTCACAATAATTAAAATATCGATACTGATTTCCCATCACTACTCATTTCTCAGACACAGCTGCAGTTCGGTACAGCGCTCGATTATAACTAGCTCAGTGAACTTGCTGAAACACGCACTTATTGAACGTTATGGCAGCAATTAGTATTATTTTTATGTTTACTGTGGCGACGTAGTTACGTCGACGGTAAAATATTTTATTAGAAAATTTATATTTTAATTCATTATATAGGTAATAAACTAGCGTTTGTATTCGGCTCTACTCATATCTATATGTATTTATTAATAGTGTATAGAATTAGAAATACATGTCACCCAATTAATCGGTATTTGATAACTATAATCAAGACCTAGATAGCATAAAGACTTATAAAATAAAGAATAGTTTTACATATATGAACATAAATCACAATCGAGAAATCATTAGAAGCATATGGGAATTTTAAAATTGTTTGTCAGAAAGCATAATGCCAGGAAAGCAAGGAAAAGGGTTGGGTTGCCCTTTCCCTTTCTTGACATTTTAAATTGTTTATTTGCAAACAAGTGTCAAGTTATTTATTCAGCGTACTCCCTCACGTGTGAGGGAGGTAGAGCTGGTAATGTGTTATCGTTCGTGTACTGTGTAGTTACTAGCTCCTGTGTGACTCGGAACCGATTATTTAGAATACAGCATATTTGATGATATATGTATATTTGTTGAATCTGAATGAAGTCTTTGAACGATCTTCTTTTTTATCTCAGACTAAACAATTATATAGATGAAGCCCGCCAAAAAATGTCAAAGTCAATAGTAGCGTAATTTATTGTCGTAATTCATTGTATTTAACTGCCTCGGTGGTTTAGTGGCTAGCATGTACGGTTGCACACTTGGAGGTCCTGGGTTCGAGTCCCGGGTCGGGCCAAGTTTAGTTATTGAGTCTTTCTGTATAGTAAGCCTCAGTAACAGCCCGAAGTTAGGAAGTTGGTGGTGTTTTACACCCGTGCCTCGGAGAGCACGTAAAGCCGTCGGTCCTGCGCCTTAACTCTCACTGGTCGTGTCGAGTGGTCGTCCCACCGAAGCATGAGAGTGTCAGGAATAGAGAGTGCACTTGTGTCTGCGCGTACACTTGCGCACTATAATATTTCCTGCGCAGTTGGCTAGTCTCAATGAGATTGGCCACCGTGGCCGGAATCGGCTAGGAGAACATCATCAATTTATTGTTTATATTCAGTGTTCACTTTCTTTAAAAAATAAGGCAAATTTTATATAGGTCCTGGCAGAACCCGCGGCTGCCCTCGCGCTAAAACTACAAAAAAATCTCTAAGGTCCAGGTAGGTTTTGAATTATTACAGCTTAGGGGTTGAATTTTGGAAAACGCTGAAATACGTAACTCATTATTTTTGCCGTACTCAATTCATACGAAATTTTATGCAAATGTGTCCAAGGAATAAAAAGTTTCATATTAACTTTTATCCCCTATTTCACCCACTCGGGGGTTGAATTTTGAAAAATCCTTTCTTAGTGGATGAATTCGTTATATGAGAAATACGTGTGCGAAATTTCAATTTTCTAGCCTTAAGAGTTTGGGCCTGTGCGTTGATACATCAGTCAATCAATCACTTTTGCCATTTACAGATTAGTATACTCTTACATTGCAGTTTTAGCATTTTTTCTCAGAAATGAGATATTTTCCTTCAGTAAAAAGATGCTTATATGTTGACCCGGATAACTACCTATCACCATACAAAATTTCATCAAATTCCCTTTAGTGGTTTTTCTGTGATGCGGTAGACAGACAGACAAAAATTCTAAAAACGATAGATTCGGCCTCGGTATCGATAATAATGTTTATTTCAATAAGATTTTACAAGAAATATTTAGTCGTTATTTATATATAGATTTGTAGATATTTATATTATAAATATAGATTCGTAGTAATTTATATTAGATTCGGCTTAGTTATAATTTTATTATATGTACTGATAGATGTGGTATTAGATAACATTATAAGTATATTAAATTCCTAGATTAGGTTTATTTTTGATAAAAACAAAGTAGTACATAGGTACTACTTCCTTTTTAGCAAAATAATAGTATATTAAAATTTAAGTGAACCGAAAACATTGTAAGTTATTAAAATAACTATCCACTGTAGATATTTTGTTTGGGTCCCAAATTACACATAAGGCCTTAGTTTTGAATACCAATATACGAGTATATACAGAATATAAAGTATACTAAGACTCAAATATACTAACATTAAGTACAAAATAATTATTGTACTCTGAAGAATAGATATTTATTTAAAATTCATTGGAAACATATCTATTAATATCGATCTATTCAGTAGGTCATGTACCAATAAAAACACAGACAAGATAAAATCTTCTTCATTTTGAAATCGGTTAAATTATCTAAAATATATACTTACGAACTACTTTTTTTCAGTTTATCGCCGTCTACTGCTAGACTAAAGCCTCTCTCATAGATCACCAACTATCCTGATCGAAACCTTTACGAAACACTTGATTGAAATTAAATCAGTCATTAGAGTTTCACTGTTTGGGTTAAATTGGCTGTTACTGTGTAAAACAAGGACACACCAACATATGTGAGCATTTGAAATATACCTACAAATCTAAGTAGGCATTATGTGAACTGCGGCGAATAAAAAAAATATTATGTATTTAAATTATATGCTTTGTTACAAAGTTCTTGTATATTTTATTGCTATTAAAAACGCTTCTATTACAATCTTAAGTTATTACGATACAATATATGTATGTATGTATATGTGTGGGATCTGCAAGATGAGTATGCTTGAAATGATATTTTAAGAATAAAAGGAGACGTATGTTAGAAATTTAAGAATGGAATAGAATGAAATAGGTGAATAAAAGAAAAGAAAAATGTGGTGTCATAATGGCGACACGACGATTCGCGTGAACATTGTTAGTTATAATTTTTAATATAATAAATAGTTAATAGTGATATAAACGCTTTCATTAGTATCCCCGGATCCTACATAAATGTAAGTATAATCACCGCATTCGTTTCTTATTTAATTATCAATTATATATTTCATTCTTAGTATAAAGTAAAATTACCGAATAGAGGCATTCTTACAAGAGGAATTAAAAAAGAGAATATATTTTTTTCTTTGTACCGAATACACAATCCTTAAATAGTCTTTAAAATAATATTTACATTAAATGAAGTAAGTACTTTGAATTAACTATGAGGCACATTATTGATGTGTACTAGATGAAGGCCGACAGAAAGTATTGAAGTAAATACTCGTACTTCTCTCACGTCACTCACCTTCATCAAAAATGCTCATAGTCTAGGAACTGATTGTATGATAAGTCACAAAAAAATTGAAAGCAAGAAAGAAAGGTATTCTTGTAATATTTTAATTAATTAACAACACTACCTCAATTAAATCCCACAAATCCTTTAGTTTATAATTCGAACGAAACACTACAATGGCCGTACCGTACATCCTACTTGAGAGTTGATAGTGTTGACCTCAAAGTGCTGGCCACAGGGTAGGGAGGTATATCAAAACAAAACGGAGCAATACTGAGACTGGGCGAGTTCGGAGTTGAAGCTAATCACGTGGTCGCGGCTGACAATTTGCAGGTTAGCCGCGCGACCGCCGTTGCGGCGGCCCGTCACGAGGATCTTTGGTACGCCACTATTATGTACGTTTTCATACGCAACGCCTTGTCATTTTATAGTTTTTTATTTTTTATTTTATATATAAGGTCTGCTATTTTAAATAACTAATAATTATTTTAAAAAAAATTCATACGGAGCTTTTTAATATGTCGAGAATGTTTTAATTATTTGTTCTATTAGTCAAAGAATTTTGAAATACAATTTTAAAGTTTAAGGTTTTTTTATAATATTTTTAGGATTTATAGTATCTAAGTTCATGTGCTTACTGTGAGTTATAGCATCTTTGATTTACAATGACAAAGACCGCCATCCGTTTCATTCAAGCTAAACGTCTTCATCTGGGAGAAAAATTGGGCAAATGTCAAAATTGGCGCGCTCGTCTTGAAGATCGCGCATGCGCGGAAAAGCGGTGCGACAAGATGTAACGTCTCTGTCTTCCAACGAGGTCTGCGGGTCGCGGCTAACCTTCGGCGCGAGGTTTGCGGCGGGAAAAATGTGTGTTTCGGTGTGCCGTAGCGGGGTGCCGCAGCCCCGCCTACCGCGCCGCCCGCTAACGCGTCTTGAGCCACTTAGTCGCTAAGACAACGCGCACACTGTAATAATAACTAGGTCAATTGAATCTTTATGATAAATACTGTAACATGGAGATATCAAGGCTTTACTAATAATATTAGAGTTGCTATGACAGCTAAGTATATTATTGTCCCAAACAGAAACATCAAACATAAGAAAGCTCTATGAAGGGGTTAGATAGTTTTTTTTTAATTTTTATTAATGCAAAGGAAGGAATACGTAATAGAAAGTCATGCGTATATTGTTATAAAAAAAGTTCATATATTTTATATGAAATAGTAAAGAACTAGTCTAATGTTTGTCAGTAGAAATGAAGATTTTATGTATTTTTAGTATGTGAACACTGTCTTAGACTCTGGCCAGATATGGAGCCACGAGCTGTCAAAATGGAGTGGGAAAAAAGGCGGGAATGTGGCGCCGCTTTATGTGTAGCTCGTCATTGCGCTGAAACGAGAGGTACGTTATAGTTTCTTGCGGGTGAGCGAGATGGCGAACACAACGTGGTTTATAAGAAAACCCAAGACGTTGGGCGTGTTTGGCGGATGGGCGGGTTACGGCGTGGTAGTGGTGTGCTGTGCTTGTATGGCGTACATACATGCGGCTATGCGGTTACAGGTGTGGGTAAGACGGTTGGTGTGGGCAGAGAGGTTTCCTTTTGTCCACGATACGACGCTGGCTTGAGGCTTTAGTTATTAAAGTCCGTACTTAAATTTTACGATGATATAAATTTTCATTGTTGGCTTTCTAAAGGCGCTAAAGGTCCTTTGCGTTTTCATAACAGCAATACATGCTTGTGTGGTTCAAGTGTTTATATTATTTATATAAACTTTTTTTATGTAAAACATATTTTATACATTACGAATATTGAAAACTTACATTAGCTCAATCGAGTCGTTCTGAAAGGAGAATAATTTTTAGAGACGATAAAAAATTATAAAGGAACATTTAGACTTTGGAATACTTTCTATGACTTCATAATCTTCTCTTAATAGTTTAGCGTACATATGTATACATCTAGGTGTTTTTGCATGTGATTTAGAATGATTAATATAATAATAGATATAACAACATAAAGAATAACAAAGGTATTCAGTTTAATAAAATGTTAGCCAGATCAAAATTGTTATTCTTTACATTTTTTATAAACTATCGTTTGGGGTATACCTATTTGGAAAGTAATATCTACATTTTTATGAAATTTTTACCAATTTGTTGTTTTATGTCTATTTATGTAATTAGGTACTCATTATTTGAAAATGGCTGGATGGATTCCAGTTTCCTATTTTCATGACACATAAATCTGAATTAAAAGCTCTAGAGTCTAGGTATATCATTTCTAAAGTTCGAATAACAAATACATCTTGAGCTATCTGTATTGTTACCTCCTATATAAAGTGGAGGCCATGCTTAGTGGTGGCGAAATAAATAGTAACACACAAACGGACAGAACTGTAGGCAGCAGCTAGCTCTGACAATGAAAGAGAAATAATTATTGCAATCAAATATAGTCAAAGTACTCATAGTTCGTATAATGTTTATATGTTTATATAATATAATTTAGACGATTAATAAATAATAAAAAAACATATAGGTACAACACACACACATAGGAACAAATCACAATATTATGAAAAAAAACATTTTTTTATAATGATGCTGGCTAGGAATTTCGGAGTCTCATCTAGACTTCGCTACATAAATTAGGTACGCCTTGATATCGTTTACTTTTCTATTTAAGAAATATAAAAATAATTCTATTAATTTTTTATTTCAGGTATAATTTGCAATGTTTCAAGATACTGCCATGAAAACATGATACTTCAATTGTATTGTATCTTTTAGAATTTCTCGAAATTTTCACAAGGATTTTCGTCAACACCCTAGCGGCATATTATGCTGGCACATAGTATACTTTGAGTACTTGTCCCGCACCTAACTATCTCTTTTAATACTTATTTGTATCCACATCGCACACATTGGCAAGTAACCCCCCGTGTAGCGTCAGTGCAGAACGCATTTGTGTGAGTGGACTTCTTTCCTCGCCCCTGTGTGCGGGTGAATTTCTTTCGAGACGTAATAAGGGGACCGTTTCTTTCCCGCTAAGGTTTTAATGTCGACCACGTTTCGGTGGCGGACGCGCGCCTCTCGCGGTTACTTCAAACTTTTTTTTTGTGCACGGACTCAAGTGTGTAGTGATAGTGCCAATTGAGATAAGACGTTTTTTTTTAAATATTTTTCTTAAGTTAAAAAGTAAGTAAAGTAAACGAATTAAATAATAGTTGTGAAGCGTGGAAAGTTATAAATTTAATTAATGGAAAGTTTGCGTAAGTCCGCAAACTTGGGCGGGCGGAGATGCGTGTTGTTTTCTCAAACCGCAGGTTCATTAGCCTCGCGCACACTACGCCGCGATTAAACTCCGAGATAGGCACATATTGTGATAACATCGGGTAAAGCTCTCTTCAACCCGATTAATTAAAGTTTTGTTTATTTAACCATGTAGTTGTTATATATTTTAAACAATAATTAGTTTATGATATAATATTCAATTAAAACCATTATTGAAAACTTATAAAACATATTTTATAAGTTGATTATATATTAGGAAAAAATCATTGCTCAGTTAAATACCCATTCTTTATTATTTATGTCCAGTTTTAATATTTGAAATAATATAATAAAAGATATAAATCAAAATAAAGCAATAAGGCTTTACAAAAAAACAAGACTATAAAATAAAAGTAAGAAAAAAGTTATGTAAAAATGTAAAAAACTCTTATTTATATCAGTGACAATACTAGAGGAGGAATTAATACTCTTTATTGTATTTAAAAAAGAAAATATAGAAATACACAACACGAGTGGACAAAGGTGGACTTATCTCTTAAATAGATCTCTTCCAGTCAACCCATGTATGTGGGAAATAATGTTAAATAATATAGGTAGGTACTTGATTGTTCTTCTAATACATTGAAAATTATCATTCACATTATATGTATTGACATTCATAACTCTTGCACTACAATAAAAATGGCGTTAATTAAAAAAAAAGAAACAAATAGCACGCATTGACGTAATTAAATGAAGAATTGAATTGAATTGAAAAATAATTTCGTTCTTTACCATTTTCTTTTAACAAAAAACATATCATATGTCACATTTCCACACATCAAATACTTATGAAAATTAATTTCGCCAGATTACTTCGACGTCATTATTTGTAACCTTGGCGAGGTTGTTAAAAAGTAAGTGCGAACTCCCATTAGACGCTCCCCTAACTTCCACCTGCACCACGTAATTGTCGTTTAACTCATGGCACTTTATGACAACTTTCTGTACAAGTAAAGAAATATATTTTAAATTTTATTAGATATGTATAAGTATATTAACATTTTTTACTCATTTACATCTTTTAATGTAGTTTTTAACATAGACTAAAATATGACAGTGAATGAAAAAATATATTAAATAGAATTTGTTTACTAGAGTTTTTTTGACTTTGACTTTGAGACATTTTTTTAGTTTGCTTTTCTTTTTTTAGTTTTTCTCTTTCAATACCTGAATTTATTTTAAAAAAAAATTTAATGCTAAAATAATTCTTCTTATAGTTTCGTAAAAAAACTGAAAAATAATGTCATAAATTAATGTAACAGTAATTTGTTTTAGTAATCCTATATGAAAAAGGAGTATTGAAGTTGTTGCTTTATCATTTCTACTCCTTTGCTTTTATAATCTTATCATAAGGGCGTAGCAAAATACTTTAAGCGATTAAAGGATAAATTTTAATAGTTAAAACCAAAATGATGAGTTATTTTTTGTTTATAGCTTAGCTTATGTATGGAGAAGGGTACTGAACACTACACTTTTTTCACAAACCGAATATTTACTTTTATAATGCTTCAAGTAACTTTTCACTTTAAAGCATTTCTATACCGAATAAATAATAATTAAATACATAATTACTACAAAAGGTTTTAAACATTATACTAATTTCACCATCTTATTGAAATACACGTCAAATAACTTTGCGTAGAGCTAAGAACTCATTAATTCCTGTTAATTCCGGGGGAGTGGGTGGCAATGTTTGCAGGCATCTTGTTGTTTTCGTGAGTTTTCGCCCTCTCAATCGTCTTAGAGTATTTGAAATATTTCATAGATATAAATACCGACCACTCACTCATTGATTTTTTTAATTTTAAATTGAGCGACTAAAATATGCATTTTTTTTAAATAATCATTAAAAAAATACAAAATAAATAAAATAAAAAAGGACCTGGGATAAAGACTTTATGATATATAGAAACTTTAGCTTTTCTTTATTTGAGATGATATTATTAAGTATTTTGTTTTATAAAGAACTCTACTACTTTAGTATTTTAAGCCATGATAAACGTAACACTAAATATTATATGTAAATACTAGCATTTCCCGCGGCTCCGCCCGCGTTTAGTTAACCAAAAACCAAATTCTTAGGTTTTACATATTAGTATACTCTTTCATTGCAGTTGTTGTATTTTTTCTCAGAAATGAGATATTTTTTCGCGGTAATAATTATCCCATATGTTGACCCGGATAATCAGCTATGACCATACCAAATTTTATCAAAGTCCATCCTATAGTTTTTCTGTGATGCGGTAATAGACAGACAGACAAGAATTCTAAAAACCATAGATTCGGCCTCTGTATCGATAATAATGTCTATTTCAATAACATTTTCCAAAAAATATTTAATGTACAGATTTGACTCAGAATTTTATTATATGTATAGATTATGTAAGTGAAATGTTGAGTATTCAGATTAATACCATCAGAAGGACATTATTTGGTAGTAAATATTTTTTTCAAGAAGTCTTTTTTTCAAAATCTTGGTCATTTTTCTGCGGACAATGTATAGCTACAATTAACACTTTCTACTCGTACATACCTACTTTATATGGTAGGCAAATCATCCATTGCCGCCAAGTTGCAATTATCAAGGGGCAGCAGTCGCCATATTTTAAAATAGGTGAAAAACTAACGTTGTCTCCCGTTGAATGTTTTAAAAAAGCAATTGATAAATTTTTAGACAAAATTTTTAAATTAGTAAATAAACATTAATATCCGTACAGTATTTTAAAACATACAAATATTGATACAATACTCTTTACTTAGATAAGTATATATAATATATTTATAAATAAATAGCTTACGGATTTTATTTCAGTAAAAAAATGTGTTGTTTCTTTGAAGGGTAGAGAAGTGGCTAATGATTGAAAATAAAATAAAATTTATTGTTTTTATGATTCATTTTATTTATTCTCATAAACGATGAATAAAGTTTGGAGAAGATTAATAATCTCTATTGCAACACTGGAAATAGTAGCATAAACAGCAAAACACGCTATTTTTGATTTTTTGGAAGATTCTGTCTATATTATTTTTTTAGTATGAGATTATAGATAATAAATAATTTTTAAAAGACAAATATAGTTACATATTTTTTTTAAATATATCCCTACCGTATACAACTATACAGTATATCAAAAATATAAATTATATAAAGTACAAATTTAATATATTTGTAAGCAACATTAAAAAAATTTACGTAGTCTATGGGTTTACATAGAATACTCTTCCCGCTTAGCTTCCTAGAGTTTTTAATATATGACGTCACACGCATTCCGCGCGATTTTTGTTTAAGTGCTTGATTGTGCGACGTTGTTTATTGTCACCAATATTGCAAGGGGACCCTTTGTTTTATCTATAAAATTGTATTTTATTCGCACTTATACGACATTATTAAAATTTAGGGAGAGAGCGTTTGTTTTTTATTGTATCGTTCCATTATACTATTTATAACTAAGATAGAAAAATGAAAATTCAGAAGCGGAGAATTTTGGTAATGTATATTTGGTTTTATGTAGATCTACTACAGCTATCATTGAAGAAGGTATTGTTAAATTTTTCGTGTTTTTAGTATTGCAGGTTTTTATTTTTCATTCCTTGAAATTAAGTATTTATTACGAATAAAATAGAAGCATTAACATACTGAACATTGATCTCAACCAGGTACTCTCGATGTTGTCTTGGTTGTTAACTCATTATACATATAATTTATCAACTCTGCCAATAAAAATAATAACGAATAGGTAATTAGGAGATAATTATATTCGTAATATTTTATTATAAAATAATCTATAGGTACATTTAAAAAAATTGTAACTAAGCCGAATCTGTACATTAAATATTTTTTGGAAAATCTTATTGAAATATACATTATTATCGATATAGAGACCGAATCTATAGTTTTTAGAATTTTTTCCGTCTGTCTGTCTGTCTGTCTGTTACCGCATCACATAAAAACCACTAGAGGGATTTTTATGAAAGGTATGGTGTTAGCTGGTTATCCGGGTCAACATATAGGATACTTTTTACCGCGGAAAAATGTCTCATTTCCGAGAAAAAATACAAAAACTACAATGTTAAAGTATACTTATATGTAAAACCTAAGATTTTGGTTTTTGGTCATCTGAACGCGGGCGGAGCCGCGGGCAATGCTAGTAAATACATAAATCAAAATACTTTCCTTCGCCTCATCTGCGCCTACATTTGAGAACCCATCAGTAACATCTATTACCAGCCCCATGCATACGACATTTCTACACGAAGGGAATCAATACGGGCACAAATTCCTGAGGGCGTCCCGAGAGACCTTTCGGACATGGATAATGATCGTCTAGCGACGGTTACAAATAGGTTAGCAAATGTAATATCCGCCCGGACCCTGCGTGAGATATTCAAATAGGTTAAGATGCTCTCGGACATCCTGATTTCAGGATGGTGTTGACTTTACACGTTGGTTTATACTTGACCCAAATTGTTTAAAATTTTCATTCTTTCTTATAACTTAGTGATCCAACCTGGTCATAGAGTATATAAATGCGATAAAAATAGAAAGACAAAATTATTATAGCAATACCTCGTCTTAATCACGTTGGTACTATAAACGTGGAAGTTGTATGTCTATTTGTTTGTTACATCTTCTAGCTAAAAAGGCTGTAAGGATTTGGATGTATATAATTAGTTTACCTAAAGTACCTAGAGTAGCAAACAGGCTGTTGGTAGTAATAAAATTAGTAAATTTTTTTTACAAAAGCCAGCAATCGAGCGAAGTCGGGATAAGGCGCTAGTGGTATATAATTTATTTTCATATCCAATTTGTACAGTGCCAGTTGTAAAGACTCTTAGTTTTATTTTAAACAAATAAAGTTCAAACTTTAAGCATTACTTTAAAGTTCTGTAAAATATTTTTTAATTGATTTTGTCATACCTTTGCGTATTATTAGACTTATACTTGCCGTATTATCTATCTAGCTTTTACTTTAAAATATAATATCGGACAATAGCGAAAACAGAAATGGATGTAATGTATCTTTACCCCATTTCCCGGTTGCTTTGTGGAAGGGTGCAGGGCCGAGTAACGAGCGCACCACTTGGCCCCTACATGCTTTATTATTTACGACGTTCGCCCTACGGTACGTTTTTAAGCTAAGATTTTATTGCTGCCCTATTCATGAGCTAAATCCACTGTGAATCTGAGCGTTACATGCTACAGTGGTTTTGTTTTTATAATTTAAATCCATTACCATTACATACTATTACATTTTTGAATATTATTAGTCAAATTTTAAAAGTATTGGTAGTAGCAAATGTTAGTTATGATGGTAGCCACTGTATATTACCTTGCTAAAATAAATTGAATATGTATAAATTCGTTATTTATTCTGATACATATATAATTTATAATTATAACTAGAAGTTAAAATTTTAATTTTTAATCGTTTATAAAATAATGTGTAGTAAATAATGGTCTCATGTTATATCTGTACATATTGATGTTAGATTTAATAGAGATCTGATCTTAATAGAACATAATTAACAAATCTGAATACAATATAAGAATTAACGTGCGTCTTGTAGAAAAATAATAACAAAAATGTGCAGTTGCAAAATATATAGTAGCTGAATTTGAATCTAGTGTAATATAACAATACTTTCAATAACGTAAAGCCGAGTTTATTGACGAAAATATTACCAGAAGGCTTTATCGAGTACGAATCACGGTAAACACGAGTGAGGCAGTAAAAAGGCATGTAAGGGTTCACCCTTGTAGAAATTAAGTTTAACATCCCGATCGACATATCGCGTTTCGCAAACATCTAACAGCCTATTCCGTGTGATAGGGGAAATACGTAGAGCTTTATAAGACACATTTATAGTAATTGGTTGTTTAAGCCTAGCTAGAACATATTTGTTACAATATTGCCTTTTGCATTATACATAATGTACATTTTTTTAGTAAAAACTAGGTTTCGGTAAAACTATTACTTGATTCTCGTATATTTATCAGGAATTCCAAGGATTTATTGAAATAAACTTAGTTGCCAAGCTGACAGCGAATAATCACATTGTGAAGTAACTATACTCGACCAAATAATATGAAACTCCTACACCACATGTAGGATTTTTGGGCACATATCTAAAATGATCTGTCTTTTTATAGCTTGATAAGAAGAATTTCAAAAATATGGACTTACGAAAAATCTTGAATTATGTTTTGATTGTTAAACTATCGACTTAACCTCGTTTCTAGGGATGAGTCCCTACTTGTCTAATAGTAGCTTATGTGTTACCGTAAGGTCATACTCTGTGTACTTAATTTGTTTTAAATCCGTTTCAATGTGAAGGAATAACATACAAGCAAACTTTTACATTATACATATATGCAAACTTTTCAATTCAATTCAATTTTCCGTCAGTTAAGCACAGATTACTTCGCCAATGTCGCGTGAAAGTGGAGAAGACTTTTGGCCGGTAAATTATAAGCATTAAACTAAATTAAATACAATTCTTTACTATACTGGTGTGATAAAAAATTTAATATAATAATATATAAAGTTTATTACATTATAGACCACCTGCCTTTATTATGATAGGTATCATTAAATAACGTAATTGATTAGGGCTTGTAAAAGATCAAAGGGGGCTCGAATTGTAATGTGTTGTAACTCCGTGCGCGGGTTAACCAAGCGTGGTTCACGAGATGTTTCTATTGGAGCCTTTTGGTATAGTAGATAGTTATATTAAAATACTTTACATGGATTGAATAAAACAAATATAAGTAACACGTGTAATTTGACTTTGAATAAATTATATAAAAAAAATTCTGAAATATTTATTGTTCAACAAAAATAAATTGATTTATTTTTAACGAATTGAATTTAATGCATTTGTCCCTACTATTATTTCTGTAATATATTCACATATTGTAGGTATATAAGTTACGGCTACTGAAATAATTTTATTTTGTTTGCTAAACAATGTTGGGTTTCAAAGAGATTAATTAAAACATTTTTATAAAGGTATTAATCATACATATTTCTTATAATATCTAATAACATAAGCTATATAAAAATATAAATCCACATTCGTGCGAAGGCCATACTCGAAAGCTATTCCTAAAATTTCCTCGGTTTTTTATCCTCTGCGGGCTTAGGCGAGATATTACAAATGTTTACACCAAAGAAAACTTAAAAATTAATCGGAATAACATAATATTATTAATATTTTACATAATTGTTGTCTATGATTGCTATTTGACCAATATTTCTGAAAAAGTAGTTTTAAAAAGAATTTTATATTTTTTTTATTATTAGGTAACTTAAAAACGACAATTAACAGTGTAGTTGAAACGAATTTAAAAAGCATTTCTATCTCAATTTTAGTAACATAACTATAAAAAAGTTGGTGTATAAAAATAGATACAATTTATTTCGTACGGTTGATTTGCCATACCGGATGTTCTCGCCCTCGCGTTGATTGTGCGTGCTCTGTGTTCGCTTTGTAGCTTTTGATGCTACGAGTACGTCTGTCAACAAGCCGTAGCCGCGTAGCGAGATATGTCTTTGTTCTGCGTACTGTATATAAACTAACTGCTATGTTTTTTTATATAGATATGATGTGATTTCACCGAAAATTAAAATTTGTTATATTAAATTAAACTCATGATTTAGTCTCTCCAGTAACCAATGGTTGCTGTAAAGCATTCGAAACGTCGGGAATTAAAAATTATAAGTAAACCGCAAAAATAGTCAAATCTTTGCGTAAACAATGAGCAGTGGAGTATTGTTAAAAACCATTAAAAATATTACTCGTTTTATAATTTTTATGTTTAAGACATGAATAAAGTTACACAAAAACTCGAAACTGTATTAATAACTTGACAGATTAAGTACTTTTAAAGTTATTACATAATATGTTAATATGCTCACGGCCTTTAACAAGTAAATCCTACGAAGTTCTAATGATTTTTATCATGACATTCTTAGGCGGATTTAAATACTTAATATTAAATTATGTTCACTATTTTGTTTATTGTATAAAAATTAATATATTTTTTTCAGATATACGAAATATGACGAACTCTATAAATAAAATAAGTGCGCGTTTCGATAATTGTGTAGTTGTGTTTAACATCCGTCGATGTCCAGCCGAAGCTATGTGACGGATATTGTGAATAGTTCTTCGACTTTTTTATTTATTAAGCTATATATCATATATGTATACGAAATAATCTGTGGATGATGCATCTATCGAGTGAAGTGAGTTCTACTACAAACGGGCTAGGGCACGAAGCGCCTTCCTCGAGCTACGGGAATCCGTTATCAAGTCAGCCCCTGACGGCTGAATTACTTGCAGAGAGAACGTTGGAAGGCCTCCTTGCTGATCATCCGGGCGAGCTGGTTAAGACCGGTAGTCCACACGTGGTGAGAATTCTTAAATTTTTTGTTAATTTTCTAGTTCTAAAAATTATTTTTTATTCTAAGTGCTTTTATGGTATTAGGCTGAATTGGTCTGAAGTACCTGACGAATGACAAAATCTTGAAAATAAAAAAAAGATTTAGTTAGATTAAACCTTTCTCTCCCGTTCTTAAGAGTTATTATTGAATTATAGTAAAAAAGACTGTTACTTCTGTTACATATATTAATAACATATTTCTATTTTAACCTGCACTAGTTTCAGTTGTTCGTTGATATGTGAATATATTGGTTCTTGTTTTCTTTATCACTCGAAAACCACTTAAATATTTTAAGACCACAGAATTAATTTTTAAACAAATTTAAAATTTGTATTTGTATAAACAAAATTATGCAATGTTTTACTTACGTACATATACATATGTATATCTATACAAGTAATAAAATTCTGTGTCAAATCTGTACATTAAATATTTATTAGAAAATCTTTTTGAAATAATCATTATTATCAATACAAAGTCCGAATCTATAGTTTTTAGAATTTTTGTCTGTCTGTCTAGAAACGCATCTCGAGAAAACCACTGGCCAGATTTTGATGAAATTTAGTACGATGATATACTATATACTATACTGCGGGATACTTTTTACTGTGGGAAATTACCTCATCTCTGGGAAATCTATACTAAATGTTAATACAGTAATCATGTATACTGTACTTACTAGTTTATAATTTTATGTGTATTGTATTGTATTTTACATCATGAAAAAATAAGCTTTGAGTCATTTTAAATGAACATAGCAACTCTATCAGGTATGTACAGTCCTGCCACCCCACTGGAGGTCTAACAAGACGCTACCCGTCGCATTTAAAGTGGTCGCCCTCGGGGATGTTGGGGACGGCACACTAGTCACAGTAAGAGCGGGCAACGACGAGAATTGCTCCGCTGAACTAAGAAACTGTACAGCAGTGATGAAGAACCAAGTCGCCAAGTTCAATGATCTGAGGTTCGTCGGAAGAAGTGGTAGAGGTTAGTAGAAGATTCTCACTAAAATTCGATTTTTTTTCCTTTATCACCTATTTCATTTGCTTGATTCTTAGAATCGTAGATTTTGGCTATGAAAATATGCCTACATAGTTTCTGCTTGTTGTCTATACTCCTTTGAAGTATGTTCGACGAACATTCATTAGTAAATTACCTATATATGTTATTTAGGACATCTTAAATATTAATAAAAGTGATACAAATCAATATGATATAGATTTACGCTTATGTTGATTCTCTTTTGATAAGACTGGCTCTATTAAGTGTAAGACCATTACTATTTTTAGAATTAGTAAAGCTGTGTAGGCAGTGGTAGCCGAGTGGTACCGTGCTCGCTTTTGAAACTGAATGAAGTGGGTTTAAATTTCGATTCTGACACCCCTGATATTTTCATGTGCGAATCATTTCCAAAATGATTACCACTTGTCTTAAGATGAAGGAAAATATCGTGAGAAAATCCGCATGTTTGAGAGAACCTAGCAAGTTTTCGAAAGACATTTGTAGTCCGGCAACTTAGCCAGCGTGGTGGAATATAGCCTGATCCCCCTTGGATTGAAGGAAGGCCCGTGCCCAACAGTAGGACGTTAAAAAGATCTGAATATAAAGCTGTATAAAATGCTATGTACAATATAAGATATATATACTGTTCATATGCTTATATTCTTTTTTAATTTGATTAAAAGGTAATATAATCGATTATAAGTACAGAAGACACATAAAATAGCTCCTTAAGTAGTTTATAAGTTAATTGAGTATCAATAGTCTGTCAGAATCACCTCAAGTGTTAGACGTCGCAATGTCGACTTATATGGAAGGCAATTGGCCGGGTTACTTTTGCTAACCACCATTACTTATCGATTAAACGTATTAATTTATGCAAAGTGTTATAAATAATAAGGAATTATTATTTTTGCTATCACTATAAATGTCAAAATTGGTTTGTTTGGTGGACTTTTCTCTATTTTAGACCAACAGATAGATAGATAGAACGTGATTTTTGCATATACATAATTTAAATGGAAAAAACTGACACAGGTTACTTTTTCCACATTATATCAAGAGAAAAATTCTCGTAAGATGTGTTTTGTAAAAAGCGCAGGTGGAGTTAGGGTCTGGGTGAAGCAATATCCGAAATAGATGCTATTATTTAATTTCTATGGGGCTCTTAGAGCATGAGTCCTACTCGCACCTTATAACATAAATTAATCAGTCAAGATAGTTGAACTATTTGTTATAGACATTACTTTGCTACATCCCATTAAATAGAATAGAGTTGATGAATATATATCAATATTATAAATGTGAAAGTTTGTGAGTATGGATGTTTGTTACTCTTTCACGCCAGAATGACTGAACGGATCTGGATGAAATTTGGCACAGAGATAGATTATAGTCTGGAATAGCACATAGATTACTTTATATCCCGGAAAAATGTACGGTTTCCGTGGGATAGGTTTGTTTTTGTTTTCCTATATCATAATTTGACATTAGTATTTCACACATTTTTTGATAAGCATGCAAAACCCCAAAGAAATATGTATGTTGTTACACAAAATAAAAAGAACGTTTATAAGACATCTAGGTTAAAATAAACTCGTAAATTTTCCGTATTCAATAGATATTTTGTAATTTATTTTACTACATCCAAATACTGCATACAAATCAAACTATGATAAAACTTTCAATTTTACCAATTATAAATTATAATTAAATATTAACCTATAAATCGACACAGAGAATGAATATGTTAGATTTAAAATAATTTCATATTTCCCCTACGAAAAATCCACACACAAGAATATTCAATATTTCATAAATTTGGTCCAAAAAATATATCTGAATGTTTACGATAATGCAGACGTCTACTCATAAAAAAACGCCCTCCCTTGAGTGCGCACTCAAAACAAAGCAGCGCCTTAGCTTTTGAATATTTCAACAGGCCTTCTCTTTGTTGAATATTAAGTCAATGGGGGTAATTGATCTGTTAAGGCTACATTAGGAGATACAACAACACTGTTTTATAAGATAAGATGACATTACTACGTCATTAAATATCTAAGACTAGCGACTCACCCTTGCTTCGCTCGGGTTCGTCCCTAGCTTGTTTCCCTATACAAACTTTCATCCCCATTCTCACCCCCTTAAGGGATGATTTCCGGGATAAAAACTATTACACTCACTCGCTTTTCATATCGTGAGATTTAAATAAAATCTTATTTTAGTATATTTTTTTTAATTTTCTTCTATACAAAACCTGACTATAACAAACACAAAAAAAAGAATTGTCCAATTTGGTGCACTCGATCGGAAGTTATGCGCGTACATACATTTCGGTGATTCATTTTTATTTATATATATACGATAAGATTTGGTAGATAGTGACATAGTAATATATCATTTTAAATAGGATTTGATCAATCACTTGTTTAACACCTCCAGGTAAATTTCTAAGAAATAATTAAATTTCTAAGAAAGCTATTGTTAACTGTAACGCCGGCGTGTCCGCGGTCGTGGAGGGATTAAGAGAACAATAGTTATAGCGTCAATATATAAAAGTTATTAGTATCTGAATATATATTTACAATACCTAATTTACCTTAACACGTTTAATCTATTTTGAACGAGAAAGGCGTCATAACATAAAATTATACAGACAATTCAAGTGCCTTACAGTATACCTATTTAGTTACTTCATTGTTTACATACGTGTGTACAGTGAGCGTAACATCGTAACTGTGTGATAGACCAGAAACTAATCGGCCAGTTTAACTTAATACGCACTTAGGTTTAACCGACTTAAGTCTAGTACTTTACACAGACGCACTTATAGAACTTCGCAATTACGGATCTCCTTACCGAATGAAAATGATACTCGATATTTACCCCTTCGATGGTCAAAACCGCATTCTTGTAAGAAATAATTTATTTTATCGTTTAAGGGATGATCTGTCAATTATCATGTTATTATTATCCATTAGACAAATTATAGTCTGACTATGTCGTATGTACGACATTAATATAAATAATTTATTCTATTACACGTATTTTATCTAATTAAGGAAAACTTCCTTCCTAGACCTCAGGAAATTTAAAAAAAGGTCCTTTTTAATGAAAATCAAGCTTTCGACCTTATCCGTGGGTAAAAATTGGAGAAATATGATAATTTTTACTTTGTAAACTAAATTTTTTTCAATTATCATTGAAGAAGTGTACTATATTGACCAAATTTTTATAAACTGATTACACCAATGTATTTTTCGGGAAAAACCAAAAAAAAAAATGGTTTGAAGTTTTTAATTGACGCTTATTATTTGTACAATATCGTTGTCCATTTGTCGTTGTTATTATCCGTGGGTATAAATTATAATAAGGTCAATCAGTGTTTACGAACAATTTTTTTTTAATAATAATTAAGATACTAATTTGTTATTTTTGTTTGAAACGGTGTTCGTTCAGTATAAAATAATAATTACAAATGTAATTTATAATAATTTCCAACTGCTAATTAAATAATGGAAGCATTATAACACAAGTATAAATGTGAATCTACTTGGAAAATTTAAGTTGTCAACATGTAACTTATTACCATACGCGCGAAGAGATACGAGGGGGTACCACGGAACTATTCCCATCCAATATTCAAACAAACAGCACATAAAACTTAGATGTTTAGGGGTCGAATAGAACATCAAACTGTAAACTTCGTCTCATATTCAAATAGGGGGTTAACGAAGTGAGATAAAGGAAGGAATTCAGTGAAGGAAACTTTAACTTTGTATCGCTATTTGTCATATTTAAGGCAGGTATAGAAATATCTACATAGTACATTTATTATTATTTTATACACAACTAGGTACCTTTTAACGCTTAGTATAGACTTTTCAGAGATGAGATATTTAAAGATAAAATATCCTATATAATAACTGATAACCAACCAGCTAATACTTTCTTACTACCATACCAACCAGCTACCAACATACCAAATTTCATCAAAATCTGTTCAGTGGTTTTCTCGTGATGAGGCACGCATATAGATAGACAGACAAAAAATGTAAAAAAGAAAGATTTTGCCTCTGTATAGATATTAGTTACTATTTCTGTAAGATTTTCCAAAAAAATATTTAATATACAGATTCGACTCAGAATAATTTTATTGTATGTATAATACGTATAGATAATAAATAATAATTTTTACTTGAAAATAAGATTATTCTTTATTTCCGAAAGATTTTTAATGAATAATAGGTTTTGTGATTTTCTTTTTGTTTATACCTCCTCCTGCGCCCTAACATTCTTTTTAAATCAGGATACGTAACCAAAACGAATTTCCTTAGTCTAAAGTAAACAGGGGTAACTCATTAACATTTCCTTAAACAAACAAAAGCTTTTGGCCAGCGAGTGTACAAAAAACCAATATAGCCCTAAACGGGAAAGTGGAAAAGAAGTTAAGAGGTGTCTATTTGTCACGTTCCTTCGTGAATAACGCTCTGCTTTCCAATTAAGGGTAAGCGCGCTCTTTGTTTATCTTAAATTGCGAGAAAATCTCACTCAAATTATCGAGCTTAAGGACCAAGGGGGATCGGAACTTTTGTTACGACTCGGTAGAAAAAGTTGTATGATCCTGATGGACAGGGCGCGGGGAATTTTTAATAAGCGAAAAATTTAATGAGGGCACCGAATAATTTTTCCTCGGTTTTAGCGTGTCAGCTTTACTTACAGTCTGGGAGTGGCCGTTATTTGCTTCGACAAACAATTTTATTTATTTAACTAGCATTGCCCGCGGCTCCGCCCGCGTTCTGATGACGAAAAACCAAATTCTTAGGTTTTACATATTAGTATACTCTTACAATGCAGCTTTTGTATTTTTCTCAAAAATGAGATATTTTCCCGCAGTAAAAAGTATCCTTTATGTTGGCCCGAATAGCCAGCTATCATCATACCAAATTTCATCAAAATCTGTCCAGTGGTTTTCTCGTGATGCGGTA